CTGTGAATAAAGGCCTGAGTTCAATTTCACTTCCTTGATCCTTTCCTCTACAGCCAATAAAAATCCCTGATTTTCTAAACTCCCAGTGACTGAAGCTTTTTTTTTAATCACAGAATTTGAGTCCATAAAAGAAACTATACCCGACAGTGAAAAGGCTGTCGTTGTGTCTTCACATCTAATCATAATCTACATTATGGTGAGCTGAATTAATCACAAAAAGTCAACTATTATGAGACCCTGTTTTAAAAAGAAAGGATTTTCTTGATAAAAGTAGCATTCTATGCTAAGTAATGGGGGAGAGGGAAAATTATTCACTGACTTGAGGGTAGACATGTTAGCATGGTAATATACAAGAGGGAGTCTGGCAGGTAATATACAATGAGAGGGAGTTTGGCAAATGAAAGATGAAGCTGGCGGGAGACACAGGGAAAAATACAAGTGTAAAGTTAATAGAGCCAGATACTGTACTGTTCCAAATTATCGGTGTACCTGGAAGGGAACTGCAACCATAGTAATGAAACAAAGTGTATAATCTGTTGAATGTAAATTGATGACTGCTCTGTAAACCCTAAGTTTACAATAGTTTTGTTTTTTAATTCATATATTTGAGTCTTCTATGAAGAAAAAAAATTACCCTTCTATCTTTTACCATAATGTTCCTGTCAGTCTTTTTATCCAAAAAATTGGAAGTAGAGAAATGAATTACTGTGAGGATTAAATGTATGAGTATTTAGTAAAAGGCCTGACATTTGGTAGATTCAATGTTATATTTGTTAATACCACCCATTTCCCTGACCACACAGATTACACCAAGAAAATGATATAATCTGGCACGAGAAAACACAGACATTTTAAACACTAACCTAGAGAGTCTAAAGACATGACTTCTTAGGAAAAAGTTAACTGGGTAAAATCATAGTAAATGAAATTTGCATTTCCATTTATAATTCTAAAATACACATTAAAGCTCAGCTTTTCATATTTATGGATAAAAATAATTTAATCTCATTTCCCCTAGGTGATGAGTCTTGAGACACTGAGAATATCAATTCTAACTCAATAAAGACACAGGATGCTATGAGTAGTAGTAAGTACATGAATCCTGGCGCTATAAGACATCCTAGGTTGAATCTTACAATCTCTGTAATCTTAGACAAGTTCCTAAACTTTCAAAGCCTCAGGTTTCCCTTCTACTCTTCTAGCCTAGTGGTTACTAGTCCTCAAGGTTGGCAGTTCGAAACTATCAGCCATTCCCCGTGGGAGAAAGATGAGGCTTTCTGCTCCCATAAAGGTTTACAGTCTCGGAAACCCTATACAGGTTCGCTATGAGTCGTAACCAACTCCATGGCACATACCACCACCACCAAAACAGGGATGACTGGACTGTTATGAGAGGATGAAAGAAGTCAGGACTGGGAAGTGCAAAAGTCCTTGCTACAATCTAAGAGTGAAACGTTATTTGTAACATTATTTCAGGAAAGTAATTTTACTAATATCACTATTACCACTAATTTTATTTACTCATACACACAATTAGCTAGTGAATTGACTTACTCTTATCAACTGGTTTTGATTTAAAAAAAAAAAATAAGGCAACTTAGGTTTTTTTAACATCCAGATTAATGGTTTTTCCCATTTATCACACTGCACAGATCCTTAAGTTTCAAAAACATTGCAGTCAAGTGCAGTTGAATTGTGTCCGATTCATAGCGACCCTATGTGCAACAATATGAAACACTGCTCGGTCGTCAGTCACCCTCACAATTGTTATGTTTTAGTCCGTTTTTGTAACCAGTGTCAATCCATCTCACTGAAGGTTGTGGTACCATGAAATTATTTGATAAGCCTAGTCTATTCAAAGTCGTAACTTCCAATATGACTGGGGTTAAGTGATGTTGAGAGTTGGTTCCTTACTCACAGCGACCCTGTGTAGTGTTTCCAAGGAGTGGCTGGTCAGTTTGAATTGCCAACCTTGCAATTAGTCCAGTGCATAGCCTACCAGGAACCAATGATTGAGTGGGACCACACAAATAGTGTGTACAGGACTCCTAAGGATCAGATTGCTTAGCTTAAAAGAATCTATCTCAGGCACACCTGCCTCACAAGACTTCTTTTTAAAGTGTTCAAAGAGCAAAGATGTCATTTTAAGGACTAAAGTGCACCTGACCCAAGCCATGGTATCTTCTACAGCTTCATATGCATATGAAAAGTACGCAATGAAATTAATGCATTTCAGTTTTGGTGTTAGAGAATATTAAAGTACCATGTACCGTGTCAAAAGAACAAATCTGTATTGGAAGAAGTACTGTTGAATGCTTCTTAGAAACCAGGAAGGCTAGAATTCATCTCTCATGCTTCAGACGTACTATCAAGAGAGGCCAGTCCCTGGATAAAGATATCATGCTTGGTAAAGTGGCGGGTCGCAAAAAGAGAGGAAGACACCCCACCCCCACCCCAAGATGGATTACCACAGTGGCAGCAGTAATGGGCTGAAACATACCAATGAATGTGAGGTTGATGCAAGCCTGGGCAGTGCATCATTCTGTTGTGCATAAGATCTATGAGTCAGTTCTAACTCAAGGTGACCTAACAACAACAAACCTCTGAAGCAGGAACAGACGACCCATAGACATCAAGAAAAACAGCCATGATCAGAATGTGAGACCAGTGGTTGGAAAAATGCCAACAGCAGAGGAGATAGCAGAGGACTGACATGGAGAGAGGGCTGCTGCAGGCTTCCCAAGCCCAAGAACCAAATAAAGGAGAGTGCCTACAAGTGTAGATTGTGCCCTGTGGGCATTTAAACACAGGTTAAAGGTTAGAGCCTTGTTAACACTTGCCTGAACAGGGCAGACACCTAAGGCCACATGGCCAAGAGGCTGAAGGCAAGAGTGAGCATGCCTGACTGGAGAACTACTGCAACCTGAGTTGTTTCTGATCCTGAATTGTACCATTCACACTTCCTTATCCTTAGTAAATCTGTTAATTATGATTATTGTCTATTTATGTATGACCATGGCAACAGATTATCAAACTCAGATTTAAAATTGAGTACTGTGGAAGGGACAGTTGGTATCAGAAAAGTATAAAAGAAAGTTGTATAATGGAGGCATGTCTGACCTGTCTCATAGGTATCAGCCTTGAACTGATTTTGAGCATGATTCTCCATCCCCCTTACAAAACCAGAGGCAGTCAATCATGGCCTCGATACGGTTTTCAGTTGGGATCAGAAGTGGAATTCTTTACAATAGCTGAAGACTCATGAAAACACTAAGTTTTATAATAGAAAGAAATGTCATGAGAACTGAAATATGTTATATTTAGATGTTTATTTTAGATTTTGTTATCTGTAATAGCCAAATAGACTATAACTGAGAACAGCTGAGGGTGCCAGGGCCTATGTGTTCCACCCTATTGGAAGCCTAAGGCCATATGCATATAAATGGGATTAGTGAAAGGGTAGCTATTGTACTTAAGTGTTTAAAAAAGAGTTATATGTTTATGCAATTGTAATATGGATATTAATTATACACCTAGCGTAGTGGTTACGAACCGGGCTGCGAACCTTAAGGTCAGCGGTTCGAAACTACCAGCTGCTCCGCGGGAGAAAGATGAGGCTTTCTACTCCCATAAGGATTTACACCCTTGGAAACCCTGTACAGGGTCGCTATGGGTCGGAACCGACTCGACGGCACTTAACAACAACAACAACAAC